AGCGCGGCAGCCATGTAAATGTAAATGAAGCCGCGATCATTTAAATCACGGCTTCATTTACCTTTGCCAAAACAACAAATCTACATGGCTCTGTCGATGGAGCCATGTAGTTTAGACGGACCCTGAGTGAAGAAAAACTTCCTTTTGTTTGTTTTAAACCTGCTGCCTATTAATTTCATTTGGTGACCCCTAATTCTTATATTGTGGGAATAAATAAATAACTTTTCCTTATTCATTTTTTTCACACCAGTCATGATTTTATAGACCTCTATTATATTCCCTCTTAGTCTCCTCTTTCCTAAACTGAAAAGTCCATGTCTTTTTAATCTCTCTTCAGATGGGACCCGTTCCAAACCCCTAATCATTTTTGTTGCCCTTTTCTGAACCTTTTCTAATGCCAATATGTCTTTTCTGAGATGAAGCAACCACATCTGGTCAATTAGAGCAGTGTATTCTTGTAACCAAAGAGGTGCTGGGGCTCAAGCAATTGTTTTACATTCATAAACTCATGCAGCAAGCCCAGAGGTGCTGGGCTCTGCCCTGGCACAACCTAAGTACTGATACCAGAGTCACCAAGTTAGCTGAGATCCTGAGTAAATCCAAAATCGCCATGTCGCTGGGATGGAATGAGAGACAGTCTCTGACAATGGTTATCTAGGATAAATCTGGAGTCAGCCCGACTGCACTGAAATCGGGGTCAGATTCTGGTGTCAGCACCAACGGGGTATATCTGGAGCCACCCCTGACTGTGTGGCGGTCAGGGCCAGATTCACCTGGGTATATCTGGAGTGCTCAGAGGGTGTATCTGAAATTACCCCTGATGGCACTGGGATCAGAGCCAGATTCTGGGGTCTGTGCCCAAAGGTTATATCCAGAGTCACCCCTGACTGCACTAGGATCATAGCTAGATTTTGATGTCAGATCCCACAGGATATATCTGGAGTCACCCTTGAACCCACTGGGACCAGGGCCATATTCTGGTGTCTGTGCCCAAAGGATATATCCAGAGTCACCTCTGACTGCACTGAGGTTGCGGCCAGATTCTGATCTCAAGTGTGAAATGAGGTTATTCCCATACGCAAATGCTGACGAATAGAATTTGGTTGAGAATGGGATCTAATGGGAAAAAGGAGGCTGGGAATCACGATTATCCCCAGTTCTGGGGTGAGAGGGGGTCTAGAAGTAGAACAGGGGGTCTGGGAGGCAGGACTCCTGGGTTCTATTTCTCTTTGTCATCCCTACTCATTGCATGACCCTGACCCACTCCCTCTCCCATCTGTGCCTCAGTTTCACATCAGTGAGGCAGATGCTGTGGGCGAGGGGGGGCGGGTTTGACTCCAGCACTCCTCCTGGGTTCTGGACTGTGCAGACAGGGTGCACCCGGCCTTGCGAGGAGTTATTCCATCATCTGGCCCAGCTGTCCCTTCCAATGAGCCTGGGCCAGGCCAAGTCATTCCCAGCAGCCTAAGGGGGCCCCAAGTCAGGAGTCACTCCCACTCCATTTCCCCAAGAATGAACAGCTCAGTGTGACCTGAATTCCTCCGCCAGCAGCTCTGTTACTGCAACTGCCATGCAGGCAGTGCCCGGGGCTTGCCAGCCATCCCTCAGGACCTCTGGGTTCTAGCCCTGCTCAGGGCAGGGAGGGGGTCTAGTGCAGGGCTCTTAACCTTTTGGGGCTCAGCAGGACTCATTTGTACATGTTTATGGCCTGTTGTGACCCAGTAAATAGTCTGGGGATGGAGCCCATGGGGTGGTTTTAGTGGGATCCTACTCCCAGGGGGTTGGGCACTGCCCAGCTCTCACCCTATAGCTGCGGGGCTGGCTGGGCATGGCTCCCCGGGCTGGGCATTGCACCCTCTCTTGTTACAGCGCTGCCCAGCTTGGCCCTGCCCACCTGAGTGGACCAAATGTGTGTGGAGGGAGCAATGTCTGGTTACCGGGCCACTCACTCAGAGGTGGCCTACCCGGACTCCCAGCATCATGGCCGCTGGGCCAAAGCACATCGGGGCTGGGACCCCAGAGGCGGAAGTGCCTGCAGCTGGGAGAGCCCAGCCAGCCCCATGGGACAGACCCACCGGAGCTGCCATGCTACCCTTTGAAACATTCTGGGTCACACCCCACCCCTGGCTGAGAAACCCTGGGCTAGGGGGTGTGAGCAGAAGAGGGGAGGGGAAGCCAGGACTTCTGGATTCTATCCCTGGCTCTGGGAGGGGAGTGGGGTTCTAGCCTCAGGTCTGCCATTGACTCCCTGTGACCCATGGCAAGGCCTTTCCCCTCTTGAGGCCCCAGAGAGTGACTATCAGAAGCACCTTGAATTACAGCTTCTCCTCAACCCACTCACTGAGCACCACCAGCCCCCAGAGCCCAACCCCCTCCTTGGGCCCCAACTCATTGGGGCTGCAGTTGTGGGCTGGGACTAAAAAATATCATCTGAGCTTGGAGGGCACACGGCTCAGGGCTGTGGGTCAGGGTTGAGGGGCATTGGCACAGATGGGGGCGCCCAGGGCTGGGCTCATGGGGGGATGCGGGTTGGGACTGAAGAGGCCCCAGCACTGAGAGTTGTTTCTGACTCTCCAATGCAGCTGGATTGAATTAACCAAGCAGAGACTAAACGGCATCAGGCAGCGGGGCTAGGCCGGGGTGTGTGAAAGAGGGAAGCGGGGAGTGGGCACTGGGGAGCGAAAGGAAGGGGGGTTGAGAGGGGAATTTCCCGGTGGGGGTGGTGCAGAGCTATGGAAGCTGATGGGAATTTTGGGGCCTTCAGAAAAACCTCAGAGCAGCACAACCAGTGGGAGAGAACCTCTGCTCTAACTCACTAGTCAAAAACCTCAGAGCAGCACAACCAGTGGGAGAGAACCCAAGAGTCCTGGCTCTCAGCCCTCTGATCTAACTCACTAGCTTCCACTCCCCTCCCTGAGCTGGGATAAAACCCAGAAGTCCAGGAGCTCACCCCTCATGTTCCACTGTCGCTCCTTCACAGCACAGAGCGAGTGAGGAGACACCACCTTTCAGAAAAATAGGAATGACATGGGTGACATCCAGGGGGGGGAAGGGTTGGACGCAGACAGACACAGAGACAGACACACCTCTCCCACCACATCTATTGACTTACTGCCCTCGCCGGGTTCCCCTGGTCAATGGGACTCTTGAAGTCTGTGCGCAGCTCGTCAAAGGCGATGATCTGTGGGGTGGGGGACAGCAGGGTCAGAGACAGAACCTCCCTGCCCAGCCCTGGACACAGCTGAGTTTGGGGTGGGACATGGGGGCCGTGTATCCAGGAATCCCTCACCCAGTGCTGAGAGGTAGCTGTCTCAGGGGTGGGGCACAGCGGCTGTTTTTAGAATGAGCCTTTCTCCACCTGGCCCATGGGGCTCCCCAATCCTTGGGGGAAGGGCAGGGAGTTCCCAGGAAGGGCCATGTGGGAAGCAAAGTTACAGAGTCACACAGGCCCACGGTGGGGCTGCCTAAGTACATGATATGGCCTCAGCAATGTCTGGCTTCATCCCACACAAACTTATTTACATATGCAAATCAGAGCCCATTCTGCCAGTTTGGAAGGGAGACCCCAACTCAGGTTGATGAAGCCACAGAGGAGCATGTACCAAACCCACCCACTGGTGCACCCAGTCAGACCTCTTCTCTATTTCCCATTCTGTCATCTTCCTTTCTAGCCCCAAGGCCAAGAATGAGACATGGGTCCTTCCCGTCTATGGGCCTCTGGCTCCAATTCAGCCCCAGGGGCAGGCTGGATAGATGTGGGGAGGCATAGACAGGCCTTTCATTGCTAAGAGTCCTGCTTGATAAACCCCATTTGGAAGCAAAGCCGACTAGTCTCAGCCACTTTGCATTTCCACTTCAAAAATAAAAATACCACTGATCAGAGCAGGAGTCTAGCTCCCAGCCCCCTTGCTCTAACCACTAGATCCCGCTCCCCTGACAGCTGGGGATAGACCCCAGGAGTTCTGGCTCCCAGCTCCCCATTAACCTGTATCTGCCCTTTGAGGAGCCCGGATCCATCCTCCCCCAAGCGTTGCCAAGGAAGTTAACTCCCAGCAGGATGTGGAGGGACCCTGCTTCCCTTGGGGTCCAGCTCCCTCCCCCGACTCCACATGGCTTTTCCTGGGCTCCTGCCAGCACAGCCGGCTCCGGAACACCCAGCCCCAGCCAAATGGGGTGACTCAGCCACCGCCTCCCCATGCTCCGGGGGCTGGGACAGATCCAGTGTCAGACAGTGGGGGACGGTCCCTGTTGTGATACCCCCGTCTGGCTCTGAGCAGATGCCCCCCAGAAAGGAAGAGCCTGTGTCCATTCCCAGCTTCCCCAAATTAAGATACCTCTGTCAGGAGCCTGAGCCCAGTCGGGCTACTGTGGTCTCCAGCATGTCTGTCTGTCTGGGGGGGATTCCCTTCCCCGCAGAACCACCTCCTGAGCTTGGCTCACCCCTCAGGAAGCATATGCAGGTCCATCAGACCCAGGCCCAATTATCAGCACCCAGAGCCCCCTGGCTTCCTAGCACTGGCCCCAGTTCCAGCTACTCCCATCACCAGTTTCTGGGCTCTCAGAGCAGACTCACGAAGGAAATGAGCAGAGACACACAGCTCTGCTGGTACCCCTCAATCCTGACCCACAGCCCCCTGCTAGCCCAGCTCTGGGCTCCTCTCCAGTCACAATCAGATCTGAGCTGCACTTGGTACCTGTCAAAGCAACAATGAAGGCTACAGGCGCCTGTGGGGGTTGCTTAGCAACCCTCACACGTGGCTCTTCTGCCTAGCAGGGGAGGGATGCCGCTCCAGCACCCTCCCCCCACAACCTGAGCCTGGGAACAGCCTGCCAGGCCAGCTAAGGGGAGCAGGGTGCAAGGACTGGGGTAACGAGGTGACTGGCTGGAGCAGTTAGTGCAGTGCTCTGTGGCGTGGGACCTGCCCCACATGGAATGAAGTTGAGACCCTACAAATTCACCTCACTCACCAGCACCTAGAAAGGGTCCAACACTCCGGCTTGAGCTGGGCCAAATATAAATTGGTGACAGACACAGTGTGGGAGATTAGGGGTCAGTGTGTGTCAGCAGGGAGGCAGGGAAGGGAAGCCCAGCACTGCGATAACAGGGGATTGGGATTGAGGGGCACTGGCAGAGCTGTGGGGCAAGGGGAGCCTAGGACTGGGATATCATAGGACTGTGAGCCAGGATTGAGGGGCACCAACAAAGCTGTGAAGGTGGGGGGAGCTCAGGGCTGAATTAGCAGGGGCTACAGGTTAGAATTGAGGGGCTCCAGTAGAGCTGTGTGGAAGTGGGGCAGGGGAGCTCAGGGCTGAAGAATTGAGGGGCACTGGCAGAATTGAGAGTTGTGGGTTGGGACTGAGGGGCACCGGCAGAGCTGGAGGGCTGTAGATTGGGACCTAGGGCACCGCCAGAGCTTGAGGCTGTGGGCAAGGACTAAGGGGCACCATTGGAACTGGCAGGCTGTAGATTGGGACCTAGGGCACCGCCAGAGCTTGGGGCTGTGGGCAAGGACTGAGGGGCATTGACAGAGTTGGAGAGCTGTGGATTGGGACCTAGGGCACTGGCAGAGCTGGGGGGCTGTGGATTGGGACTGGGGGGCACCAGCAGAGCTGGGGGCTGCAGAATGGGACTTAGGGCACTGGCAGAGCTGGGGGGCTGTGGGCAAGGACTGAGGGGCACCTGCTTTGCACAATTACAAACTCCATCACCATTTCTCCACACGGGTGACAGCGCTTAGCGGGGCCTAATTGGTGTCGGGCTGAACATGCCCCTGCCAGGCCCCTCTGTGTCCCAGAACCTGGATCTGGCTGCCAGTGAGGGTGTGCCCCCCCCCCCCCCCCCAACGCCTCCACACCCAGCACCTGCCCAGAATGGGAGGGAGAGAAACCAGCATGCGACCCCTTGCTATTGGCTGCCTGGGAGCTGGTCGCCGGGGCAACGGGATGGTTTCCAGTGGGAGGGGGGAGTGCGCGGAAGGAACTTTCCCCTACTGCTCCCAGAGTTCACCCTAATCCCCAGGCACCCGCCTTCCCCAATGGCCTGAATTCTGTGGCTGGCAGATAGCCAGAGCAATTCACTCCTACTGAGAGCAGGGCCCTGGCTGGGAGCTCCCATGGACACAGTTTAAGGGAACTCTTCAGCCCCTGAGCTACCTGCTAGCAAGAGGGCTGCTTACCACTGGAGGCTTGGCTGGTTTGGAGTTTGGTTGAGACCCAGCAAAGCAATGTGCAAACACCCGGGCTTGCCCCTGGGGCCAAGGTCCTGTCAGGGAAGCGGATATCCTGGGCTGGTGCTTAGGATACCTGGGCTCTGTTCCTGGCTCCTCTGCATAGTGCTGCTGTGCAAGCCCTTTGCCCCCTTTTTCTCAGTTTATTTTCTAGAGCTGGGGATCTAGGATTTGCAAGTGGGGTAGCAAGCGAATGGGGCAGCCCCTTCTCTCCCCGGCATCACATGAAGTATTATAGGATGTGCCAGTTTCAGGAGGAAAGATCACTTACCTGTGGGGTGCTGGCACTCAGTGCAAACCCGAGTCCCCCAACAGAGGATGAAAGGGAGGGTACCACAGTGAGCCCACCCTGGGACTGCTAGTCTGGACGAGTCATTGTGTGGCTCTGGGGCAGCACAGAGAAGGGTGTTAATGGACCAGCGGGAGGGTGGAGGGAAATGCCAGGGCAGTGAACAGTGTTTAATTTGTAATGAAAGAGGTGCCCGGTCTCAAGTCATTTGATGCTGAGGCTCACACAATTACTTTACATTCATAACTGATGCAGCAAGTACACAGGTGCCAGCCTCTAAATTGCCCAGCTCAGCAGTGCCGGGCTCTGAACTGTCCAGCACAGAGGTGCCAGGCTCTGCACTGCCCAGCCCAAAGGTCCTGGGGCTATGAATTACCCAGCCCAGAAGCAGTGGCAGTGACACAATTTCATTGTCACGACTCCTGGGGGCTAGATGGAAGGGCCAGCAAGTCCCAGAGCAACCTATACCTCGTCCCCACAGCCCTCTGGAGTAGCCACATCCTGAGCTCAGTCCCCGTCACATCCCTCCCTAAACACCTCAATAGGGGGCAATGTGCTGCAGGAAGCAGAGCTGAGTATGGGACACTGCCTCCTTGCAGTCATTACCCACCCCACTGGTGTGGCACTGGGAGCCGGGCAGAACAGGATGCTCAGCAGGGGGCGCTGTGCTACAAGGAACATTGGGGCTCAATAGGGGGCGCTGTGCTGCAGGGCGTGGGAAAGGGCAAAACCATTGCGTGTCGGGGGCTCTGGTCACTTTCTGTTTGGTACATTCCCTTTTCCTTCCGAATGGAGCTGAAATTTTTCATCAGACTGGTTCTTGATAAAATGTAATTTCTGTCCAAACCCGACTGTCCTGTTTGCACGGGTTTGGAATTAAATGGTTTGGCATTTGGATTCACAATGACTTTTCAGAACGAAACCCCATTGGATTTTGTGTAGAAAAACATTAAAAGTTGGTAAAGAGCGAAATGGGAACCAGACGCGTCCGTGAACCCCAAATGCCTTTGGGGTGCCGGAGTGAAGCTTTTTTTTGTGGGAGATTTCAAAATAGTTTGCTTCTGTTCCAGAAGAAATATGGAATTTGCTATGAAAGGGGAAATGTAGCTCACTCCCAGCTTTTCTGTGCTCTTCTAGCCTAGAGCACTCTTCAGACAGACTGGATCCTGCTGCACTTCCTGTCCTAAGCTATTGTGTGACTGACACTGTCCTGTTATTACACACCCGCGGCCCCCCAGGGGCTGCATCTCAGTGCCAGAGAAGGAATCTCTGTTCAAACAGCTGGCAGCCCCCAGGCCCACCTGGATCGTTGCTGCCAGGTACAGACCCTTCTGGCCAGGGGTCAAGAATGGTTCCGGGTTCAAATACATCTTATGCGGCAAACATTGCTGGATCCCCTCCTTCCTGCCCCGTAGCCCCCTGCTATCCCAGCCCTAAGCTTCCCACAGCCCTGCCCTTCCTTGCCTCTCACTCCCAACACCCATAACCACATTTTCATCCTTGTCCATTGCAGAGTATTGCCCCAGACTCCTGTGGCTGGAGCCCTCCCACAGCAGTGGCAGGTGCCCAGGGCTCTGGGGGGAGGGAGGGGAAAGGCACAGCTATGCTGGGGGCAGGGGTGAGGTGGCAGTGATCTGGGACACAGGACAGACAGGGTCACAGATTCCATGTGAGGGGAGCCCAGGCTGAGACAGCAGAGAGCTGCGGGTGGGGACTGAGGGGCACAGAGGCTAGGGTAGGAGGGGAGCTGAGAGGGCACTGGTGGAGCTGGGGGTGCAAGGCCAGGAAGAGGAGCCATGAGGAGCCCTCCCTCCCAGCCCCACCACCCAGCTAGTGATACCCAGAGCCCATCTTGTAAACAGATGTAGTTCCCATGGCAACCAGCGCCAGGTTCCCTAGCTACGGCTGAGAGAGAAGGGGGGCTACATCGCGGGAAGCCCGGGAGACGCAGCAGCCGTGGAACAAAGCGGGGGGGGGGGGGGGGGGCACGGGGGG